AAAAAGCTTGGATTCCTTACAGAAATGTGAGTGCTCCAAGCTGGAAGCAGTAGACTTGGTCACTCACAGCCCACCCACCTACAGATCAAGATGGACTGGAACAACCTCCTCCATAAGCCAGAAAAGTGAAGGGGGTTGGGAGGTGGGAGGAAGAGTTTCATATTTCATCCACCACTTTTAATAGAAAACAGAACGTGGAGGGGGATTGAAAGGAAAATGGTAAATCCCTGGAGATCCTAAGTGTCGGCCTTGCAAGTCAAAGCTGTCAATCACACCGTGTGCCCTCCAACTCTACTTTCTGAAAGGAAGGAAAGAAAGGAGGAACAGACTGGCACATTCAGCCACTAGGTGTTACTGTTGCTCCACGGACTTTAGAATAAGGAAAACATCTATCAGAGGCATCATCTGCAGCTGTACCTGAAGATTTAAACCACAGAAATTAACTCCTACTTCTGGATTCACATATTGCAACTCAAAAATCAGAGTACTTTGGTGTCTTTTTTTTGGGGCAGCCATAGAGGCAGACTGATGCTTCTTGGGTTTGTTTTTATATCTCTGCTTTGTTTTTCCATCTATAAAATGGAAATAAAGATCCRTATCTCTCCTGGGAAGGATTTGGAGGCTACAGATCAATCAGAGTTGTAGTCCTTGACAATCTGTTGGCATGAACCAAGCAATAAGGTTCTGCATAAGCTTTTCCCGTTGATTCCAAAATAGGTTTCCTGAGAGAGACTGAACTGAGTGTTACCCTGCAGACTTGCAACAAAAAGCAGGGCTCCACTGCACCCCTCTCAATGCATCTTAATGTCCTGTTTCCCTCTRGTCTCTTGCCATAGCTCCACCAAAGATTTTTCCAGAGAGCAGCCACACTTCATCCAAACCATCATTTACTTAATCAACTACACTCTGAGCCCCAGAGACACACCCCTGCCCTGAGCTACTTAAGCAAYGAGCTTCGAGATTACAATATTGATTTTCTCCTTAATTTTTAATGACTTTTTAATAATTCAAAATTAGATATTCCTTCCTCTCAATTCCTGTATTCCATGCCTTGCCCCCAAGTGAGCCAGTATAAATGAATGGAGGATATAGTGCAGGTCCCTGCCTGCACCCTGTGAAGAGCTGTTTCTGCACACACACAATAAATGTCAGGCAACACACAGCAACCAGGCAGAGCTTTCCTTCCCTCTCCTGATGAGCTGTGCCATGTGGTTGTACTTCTAATCCAGGCAGCATTTTCACACACAACTGGAGKGCTCCAGGGCATRTTTTCCAAWGTTTGGAAACATTGTTACAGAACATTAAATAAAGTACCAATACTGAGCCACAAAAGCTTATGAAAAAAATTTTTTGAGTTGTTTTCATAGGAAAAAAATTTATGTGCCACATTAAACGAAATACAATGCAAACTTAAAATGCTGCTCTCTGAAAGGCTGAATGGTTTGCAAGTGCTCAAGTATTATCTGAAAGCTGACTGCCATTACATTTTACYGCTGCTTACAGTAAAACTAGTGGGTCTCTACCTTGGAGGCAAATATCCTCTGACCTGCAATTCAGGCAAAAAGCATCACTTGGCCTCACACAGCAACTGCTATGTCTCTCGACACCCGAGTTCTCACTGTCAGCTCCAGAGTGAAGAACAGCTTTATTGAATTATTATTGTTACCTCGCAGTACCTTTTGGCTTTTGAAGGAAGAAGGAGGATTTTTACAAGAAAAATCACCTGAAGATGATAATTTTTGCTTGCTACCAAAGCATCATGGTRGAAAACCAGCCATCTAGTAAATGCAAGACATAAAGGCCATTACCAGCATTKTCTGGAAGCAGTTCACTTACTTTTCTCTTGGCTGCAATCTGACAAGGAATTTTAAATAAGTGAAGCAAAATGATTCACACACGTGTGCTCTGAGCAAACAGTACACCAGGAACTAATGTAACTTCACCCATATGCCTAAGGCAGATGCTGATAACATCAAATGCACTTGACTTAGATGCCTTTGAAAACAGTCACCCTAAGAGGCTTGAAARCTTAATTCCCACTTTCTTAAGTGACTTCAAACTCTAAATCACATGGATAAATCCAAAAATTGCACCCTTAGTCAGCTATGGTCTCCTTACTCTTCAGTGGCTAATATAAACACAGAAMAACCCTATCTGACACTCCATCTAAAAATTAATCCTAATTGCTTTTGGGCAGCTGCACAAACAGCCAGTTTTACCCAGTTTGAGTTACCTCTTATGCTTTTTTCCCCCCTTCTTCTGTGGTTGTGTCCACAATAGGACCTTTTATAATACATTTCTCTTCATGGTCTAGTGTCAGCTAATACCATATGCCAGCTGTGGCTGTCCRCGTTCTTCTCTCGGGGCCACCCTTTCTGTCTTTCCTTTGGAAGTTGTGGGTCTGAAATGTGGAAAACAACAAAGCTGCAGAAAGGATTAACTACAATTTGTCCCAGCTCGTTGTGAATTTGGTCCTGAATCACATATGAATCTTCAAAAGCAAAAAACACACATGCAGTCTGCTACAGAAGAATCAAATTCAGGGCTAGTTGCAGCTAYTGCTTTTTCATTTTCCTAGTCCCATGAACCTGAAAAGGAAGGGTTTTCTGASGTTTAAAATACAGTGTGAACATTGTGATGCCAGTGCCACATTGAACCACTGTAAACTATCCCTACATAAGGAATGAAACAACAAAGGAGTCTCTCACAACTGTGAGAGAGAAGACTCTACCACCTCAGTGAGAGTAGAGCAATTCTGGTTCACATTTATTAGCGGTACTGGTAATGAACATTTTCATTGTGGTAGTGCCTAGAGGCCCTGTTTGAAAGCTTGTCTAGAAGTGCTATTGTACCTGGGCACTAAACAGCTCTGAAGCAGCACATCTGTCTGCCAGATGTTTTATTTTCTTAGAAGCTGCCATTTCAAAAAGCCTCCTTCTTCCCCTAACAAGCCTTAATAAGAATCTTCAAGAGCTTGGCTTCATCAACCTTCCAAGGAGAATCTGMAGTTAAAATCACAATGAAACAAGGATGGAGAGCACTGCTCAAACTATTGAGGGACACAAGTGCGCTGCAGAATGGTTTGAAGACTACATTGACAGAAGGCACTGGAAGAGGGCACTGACCTCTGCTTGTTTTATCACTCCAGGGCTGGCCATCAGGGCACTGGGGCCAATGCAGGAGCAGCATTGCATGGAAAGTGCCAGCAGACCAGAGTAAAGCAGTGGGCTTGGTGGTTTCTATTGCATCTTCCATTGACTTTTGGACTCTGAAATTCTGCACAAAAACCGTGGGCTTTATCTTCTCATGGTGCAAAGCTTGATAGCTACAGGCAGAAAAAAATGGTGCAAGAGGGACCTTCCACTTTCTCCCACTTCTGCCCTCAGAGTGATCAACCGTTCCTCCCCTGGTTAATGCTCAGGGGTCACACAGCTCAGTGGCTGCAAATCCTGTCCCTCGATGAGAGGAGCAGCTAGCAGTGCCAGGATTTCCCCCTGACCAAGGCTCGCAGCTTGTGAAGGATCCTTTCACTCTTTCTCTGTGACACCACATTTGCTCCAACAGACCGACCAGCGGACCGGGCAGAGCAGGAACACAGTGGGGGATCAGTAAGGGGATGAAGCRAAGACTGAGCGGGGACAGAACGGGGACACCGCGGAGACACAGCAGGGATGGAGCGATGACACAGCGACGGAACAGCAGGGACGCTGTGGAGACMGTCTGGGGACACGAAAGGGACACAGMAGGGACRCWGCGGRGCCTAAGCGAGGACACARTGGCCGGGCAGGGCGACGGAGCGGGGACACAAAGGGGACAGAGCAGTAATAAAGCGCGGAAAGAGCGGGAACAGAGCGAGGACACGAAGTGGACACAGCTGCGACGGAGAGGGGATGGAGCAGGGAGACAGCCCGGGGACACGAAAGGGATGGAGCAGGGACACAGCCCGGGGACACGAAAGGGACGGAGCAGGGAGACAGCCCGGGGACACGAAAGGGACGGAGCAGGGACACAGCCCGGGGACACGAAGGGGACGGAGCAGGGACACGGCCCGGGGACACGAAAGGGACGGAGCAGGGACACAGCCCGGGGACACGAAGGGGATGGAGAAGGGACGGAGCAGGGACGCAGCCCGGGGACACGAAGGGGACGGAGCAGGGACACGGCCCGGGGACACGAAGGGGACGGAGCAGTGACACAGCCCGGGGACACGAAAGGGACGGAGAAGGGACGGAGCAGGGACACAGCCCGGGGACACGAAAGGGATGGAGCAGGGACACAGCCCGGGGACACGAAGGGGATGGAGCAGTGACACAGCCCGGGGACACGAAAGGGGTGGAGCAGTGACACAGCCCGGGGACACGAAGAGGACGGAGCAGTGACACAGCCCGGGGACACGAAAGGGACGGAGAAGGGACGGAGCAGGGACACAGCCCGGGGACACGAAAGGGATGGAGCAGTGACACGGCCCGGGGACACGAAGAGGACGGAGCAGGGAGACAGCCCGGCGACACGAAAGGGACGGAGAAGGGACGGAGCAGGGACACAGCCCGGGGACACGAAAGGGACGGAGCAGTGACACGGCCCGGGGACACGAAGAGGACGGAGCAGTGACACAGCCCGGGACACGAAGGGGACGGAACAGGGACACAGCCCGGGGACACGAAAGGGACGCAGCAGGGACAGCCCTCAGACACGGCGCGGCCCCGCAGCCATCGCCTCACGACAATCCCGCGCCCCGCCCCTCCCGTCACGTGACTCGGCAGCGCCAATGGCCGCGCGCTCCCGCCGCCCCGCGCGTTGCCGAGCAACGGCCGCGGGTTTGGCTGGGGGGGGGCGCCGTCCCCGCCATGCTGAGGGCGAAGGTGCTGCTGGTGGGGCCCCACGAGGTGAGTGACATCCTCAGGGACACCCCGACCGCCTTCCCCCCTTGTGGCGTGAGGGAGGGACGGAGGGGGGCCTGCACCCAGCGGGGCTGAGCGGGAGGGGCGGCGCGGGGGCCTTGGGTGAGCGCCGTCGTGGTGGCTTTGGCACGTTAAATTCCTGCGCGTGTCTTTCACCCCCGCGTTCTGGCAGTCTGGAAAGTCGGTGTTGGCAAACTTCGTGTCGGAGAGCACGGAAGGGATCGGCAGCTACAGCCCGACCCAGGGGGTGAGGTGAGCGAAACACCCGAGAGCCCCGGGCTGTGCGGTGCCACCGCKTGGGATCATGTCCCACTGTGTATCCATCGTTCCCGCAGGATTCTGGAGTATGAGAAGCCAAACCTCAATGGGAACAACAAGGGAGCTGGGTGTCGATTCGAGCTGTGGGATTGCAGTGGTGATCAAAAGTAAGCCAGCATTGTTACTGCCTCCGGATTGCTCAATTTATAGTATTTCTGTGTACACAAGATACTCATATTTACGGCCCAAACCAGTCATCTGTTTGACATGAAGAGTATTCCTGACTCTTACCCCGATATATTTCTATGATTTCTGCTGAAAAGCATCCAACACTAGTCACTCTCTTCCGTGATGACAGCTGAACTTTGTTTTGGATAAGGACTGACTAGAACAGGAATGTCCACAWCTCCTGGCATGAAGTTATGGATACCGAAGATATAGGCCCACTCCGTAATTGCCTTCATCTCCTTTAAATTATGGGAGTGGACTTCAAACAGTGTGCATATATGAATGAAACCGAAATTTCTGAAAGAAAATTGAGAACAGGAGAGATCCATTCTTAGCGAAATGTTTAAATAAGCATTTGACCAAATACTACATTGTCAGTGAATCATGGGACCAACTAATAAGTAACTTAAAATAGTTAACTTGTAATAAGTAACTTAAAATAGTTAGAATATGACAGAACCCTGGCAAAATTACTCATGTTACAATTTTTAAAAAAGTACATAATGTGTTCTTGAGGAAGTTTGAGTGCATGTTTCTGTTTTCCTGCTGTCAGTCTTGCCATTTTCTGTGTTTTTCAAGGTTTGAAACTTGCTGGCCAGCTCTGATGAAGGATTCTCATGGTGTAATAATAATCTTCAACCCTGAGCTGCCCAGTCACCTGAAAGAAATCGAAATGTGGTACTCGTGCTTTGTGCAGCAGCAGCCACTGCTTGATAGTCAGTGTCTCCTGGTGGCACATCACAAGCCAGGCAGTGCAGGGGACACAGAAAACCTGTCCTTAGGTAAGGAGATGGAGAATTCCATCTGTAGCTAAGAGCTTTTTCTGAATCTTTTTGTCTTTAAAATTGTTAATACCTTATGGCCTGCATTTTTCATTTGAATCTGCCGCTTAAAGAACACTAAAGTGCTTTGGAAAAACA